AGAAGTTCATGCTCACAGTCAGGACAGGAGAATGCGGGAGTCACCTGGGAAAACTTACTCCTCTGAAAGTCAACAGCGTCTGTCAAAAGAAGCATCCGTCCCACCATTGTTGTGAAATTAACCTCTGAGAACCAAAGAGTGAATGAGAATTTGTAGAAGAACCTGAGCTAATGGGTGGGCGAGAACCACACCTGGTTCAGCCGTCCCCTAAAACAAAGTGGCTCTGAGTAGTGATGGTCAGATGGGCGAAACCAACTGTCCCTGAGCGAGCCTTCAGATCTACACAAAACAAAAGGATGGGTGCAACCAGCAAGATCCAGACTGAGAGAAAGCTTTAACAGCAAGTGACTCAGTTTCCCCACCTGCGAGGACAAAACCAGAACATGGAAAAGGAACTAGATTGAGGAGAAGCAGCAGCTTTATCATATGGTCCTTATTGGACCTTACTCAAATCAACTGCAAACGTAAACACAAGATAATCAGAGAAATTTAAACATTGGCTGGTTTTTAACATTCATTATTTAAGAATTAGTATTAGTTGCTTGGGGCTATGGCAGCGGTAGTGTGAGTTCCTAACTCAGTTCATAAATATGTAGAGGTGTAAAGTGTTTGCCACCTGAATATGAGAGCCAGAGTGGATTCCCAGCATGCTCAGCAATGCCAGAGGGATGTGGCAGCCCACCTGGAATGCCAGCACTGGGGAGCAAGCTGGCTAGCTAGACTGATCGGGTCTGCAAGCTCTGGGTTCAAGTAAAAGACCTGCCTCGACAGTAAGGGAAGTGTGACCAGGGAGACCAGAGGTAAACTGCTGACCTTCACATGAACATGCACACACACACACACACATGATCCCACACATGTGAGGGGAACGCAGACTTTTGTACATGCATAAAGGTTGGGAATACATATCCTGGAGAAAAAAGATTATTTGTAAAAAAAAATTTGAATTTTACAAAAGGTGATTTACCATTTAATTGATCGTCATGGTAATGATTATTAAAATTAAAGCATACAAAAGTGAACATTTTACCAAGAAAAATATAAATACTTAAAAATAAAGAGGTGAGCATGTTTTTCATCATATTTAATTGCAGCACCCAGGGTCAAGCCCAGAGCTTTTTATGGAAAGCAGGTGCTGCACCAGAACCCCAAATCTGTTTATTTAGGAGTGGGCCTTCCTGTATGGCCAGGCCAGGCTCATCTCTGGCCTCAACTGTGGGCACACCCTGCACCTGCTCTGTGTGTGCGTGTGTGTGTGTGTGTGTGTGTGTGTTTAAGGCATGATAACAGTAAGAGGTAAACTCAGAGGAGAGTGTTTGCACGTGTGCTTAGCTCCTTTCGTCTCTGTGACTGGACGCCTAAGAGCAAATGTCCGATTGGCTGGTGGTTCCAGAGGTCTCCAGCCATGGCCATCTGGATCTGTTGTTTCTGGGTCACAATGAGGCAAAAAACAAAAAACAAAAACAAAAAAAAAAAAACAAAAACAAAAAACCAGGGCAGAGGGTATGGAAGAACCAAGTTGCTTGTCTTACAGTGGCAAAAAAATAGAAGGAAAAGACCAAAACAAGATACAGTCCCCAAGAACATGCCCACAGTGACCTACTTCATCTGGGCCCGATCTTTAGACGTTTCTACCACCTCTCAATAATGCCATAAGCTTATGAACCCCGGGAAGGAGGGATGACTCAGCATTTAAAATCTCACACTGTTCCCAGTGCCCATGCCAGGCATCTCAGGGCCACCTGAGCTCTAGCTCTGGGGGACTCAGCTCCCTTTTTTGTCTCCCTTAGGCACCCACACACATGTTGTGGCAGAGACTCACATAGACACACACTTATATACATGAATAAAAAAATTTTTAAGTAAATCTTTAAAACATCTGAGGACTCCACCTGTATGTTAATACATTGATAAGGGTAGAATTTTTACGAGCCAGTCACCTCTCAGTGATTGGCCCACCATCTGGGGACCAAACCTTCAAGGTTTGCAAAACACAGCCTTGAATTACAACAATTAAAATGTTAAAATGATTAATAATTTAAAGGAGTTAGTAATAATAGCTAACACATCATGCAATAGAGCAGTGGGTCTCAACCTTCCTAATGCTGTGACCCCTTAATACAGTTTCTCATGTTGTGGCAATCCCCAACCATAAAAGTATTTCATTGCTACTTCATAACTGTAATTTTGCTCCTGTTCTGAATCATAATGTAAATATCTGTGTTTTCTAATGGTTTTAGGTGACCCCTGAGAAAGGTTCGTTCAACCCCCAAAGGGATCATGACCCACGGTTTGAAAACTGCTACACTAGAATTCTTAGAAGCATTCTCTAGAAGCTCTGTCAGTTCTTTTTTTTTTTTTGTTTTGTTTTGTTTTTGGTTTTTTTTTTTGGTTTTTTTTTTTTTTTTTTTTTTTTGTTTTTCGAGACAGGGTTTCTCTGTGGTTTTGGAGCCTGTCCTGGAACTAGCTCTTGTAGACCAGGCTGGTCTCGAACTCACAGAGATCCGCCTGCCTCTGCCTCCCGAGTGCTGGGATTAAAGGCGTGCGCCACCACCGCCCGGCGCTCTGTCAGTTCTTAATGAAAGAAAAGGGAAAAAATTGGGTAGGCTGTTGCTTACCTGTAAATCCCAACACTTGGAAAATTGAAACAAGAAAACCAGAGTTTTGTTGGGCAGAGGCAGGCGGGTCTCTGTGAGTTCAAGGCCAGCCTGGTCTATAAGAGCTAGTTCCAGGACAGGCTCCAAAGCCACAGAGAAACTCGGTCTCAAAAAAAAAGAAAAGAAAAGAAAAAGAAAACCAGGAGTTCAAGGTTCAGATCCAGCCTCTGTAAACAGACATTTCTGGTCCCAACCACCCAGTCCCTAATAACTAACTCAGAAACTGAATATGAATTATAAATGATCAACCAATAGCTCAGGCTTATTTCTAGGTAACTCTTACATTTAAATTAACCCATATTCCTTATTTACCCTGTGCCACATGGCAGTACCTTTATTAATGTTCATCCTGCTCCTTCTGCCCTTCCTCTTCTTAGCATTATCAGTTTGGCTTCCCCTGCCTAACCTCTTCCTGCCCAGCTATAGACCAGTGAACCTGTTTATTAAACCAATCACAGTGACATATATTCCTACAGTATACAGAAGGATTATTCTATAAGCGTCAGCTACCTAGTAAGCATGAGGCCAGTCAGGGCTGCATGAGACCCTGTATCATAATAAAGCAAAACAACAAAAACACTAGTATCCCATGCTCAGATGTAAAAGGATCCTCTTACCCTCTCGCTTGTCCTACCAGGTGGAGAGGGCAGGAGGCAGTAGCAGCAGCAGATAACTTTATACCAGCTTATGAGCATGAGCAGAGACATCTCTCCAGGAGATAGACTTCTGGTGAATCAGTTCCATTTTATTCCAGAGTATAAGGAATATATAGGATTGGGGATCCTGGGGACAAACCCTAGTTTGCATTAAGTGGCAGACTCCTACCACAAGGCTTTGTACGTGGCAGTGGCAGCAGCAGCAGCAGGGTCCCATCAAAATGCCTAGAGCACTTGCATAATTACCATGTGAGTCACCAGGGGAAGAGTGTTTGCAGGGAACTATGTCAAGGGTCACCCTTGAGATAAGTCACGCTTCCTAGCCTCATCGTCCAGTTAAGACTGGGTAGAAAGCAGGAAGCTTCGCTGGGGAGGGAGGGAGTTCTGTGTTGTTGAGCTTAAACAAAGCTACCAGGCTGTGGTAGATTGCGACCTCTACCAGCCGGTGATGGCTTCCAACAGCCTGACACATATTTATGAAAGAAATTCAAATAATCAAGAATCAAACACATATATATTTAACCTCATAAGAATTATAGTTGAAAGTGTACTAAACTGGGACATTCAAAGAAAAGGGCTTCTATGACTGATGAATGTATAATAATTTATCAATAGGTAAGTTTATCAATATATAAGTTGATTATTCATCAGAGAGGATAAACTGCAGAGTAGTGTAATGTTAGTTAGCAAGAGAAGTAACCAATTATTTATGCACACAGTGTGAATGAATTTTAGGGTATTATGCAGAGCAAAAGATTAAAATGCAAAATAGAAGGTATGTGTTTGAAGCTACTTATGTTGACTTCTAGAACAAACAAAGCTTGTCTGTGTCTAAAGAAGTGGGCACCTCTGATGCAAGGAGTTTTCCTACAAGTTCATGAGGACCCCTTAGGCTCGAACTCATCCCCTTCACTTAACTCCTTTCTCCTTTTGACTACGTAAATTCGACTTCAAAATCCATGTGTTCTGAGTAGGGCTAACAAAATGGCCAAACACGTTCACCCACCAGCCTTAATTGGAAGGAGAGCTGGGCTACAATGCTGTACGCCTATCTCTGCCTCCCCAGTGCTGGGATTAAAGGTATGTGTCATCACCACCACTACCAGACTGAAACATTGTTTTTAATTCAAAGTGATGCATAAACATTCAAATATAGCCAACATTTTGAAACTTTTTATCAAGAAGATTGTTTTTTTTTGCTTTATTTTTTTTTAAATATTTATTTATTTATTATGTATACAATATTCTGTCTGTGTGTATGCCTGCAGGCCAGAAGAGGGCACCAGACCTCATTACAGATGGTTTGTGAGCCACCATGTGGTTGCTGGGAATTGAACTCAGGACCTCTGGAAGAGCAGGCAATGCTCCCAACCTCTGAGCCATCTCTCCAGCCCCCTATCAAGAAGATTGTAACAAAAAGTTAAATGTGGGGACTGGAGAGATGGCTCAGAGGTTAAGAGCACTGGCTGCTCTTCCAGAGGTCCTGAGTTCAATTCCCAGCGACCAAATGGTGGTTCACAACCATCTATAGTGAGATCTGGTGCCCTCTTCTGGAGTGTAGGCATATATGCAGGCAGAACACTATGTATATGTGCCTAAACACCTTTGCAATACACACACTGAAAAGCGTGAAAACGTCACTGCTATTCATGTGTTTGTGAAATGCTGCTTTCTCTTGCTGTTTCAGTGTTACCGCAGGCAGTCACCCAGTTTGAAGAACTGGTTGCAGTGGCAGAGACCCTGCTTAAAGGTGGGGGTGTGGCGTCCACACCTGCATCTACTCTCTGGAGATCAGCCAACAACTCCTCCCCAGACTCTTTTGCCTCTCTTTGCGGTAATTCCAACTCTAGTTCCAGCTCCCCACGTTCCCTGAAGGCTGAGGAGGAGCAGCCTCCTGGTGAGAAGCAGGTTGGTTGGAATGCCTCCCCCTGGGTCTCTGAAAACAGCTGAGCACAAAAACCAAAGAAGGGTGAAGCGGTGGGCGCTCATCGCAGTAAGTCTAGGCGGATTTAGGTCCCGATCATTAGATCCCTATTCTAAAGAATCTTTTTTTTTTTAACAATGAGAGTTAATATTTGTGAAACAGACACCGAATTTAGAAATTTAAAAGCAAATATTGGGAATAAACGCAGCTCTTGAACTATATATTCTTGCATCGGTTATAGAAGTAGACTTTCACATTAAAGGCGAAACTCTGTGTCACAGAGAGAACTGCGGGCCTCTGTATACCTCATGTCCACAGCTATTTACGTTTTCCCTGACCCAGAAACAGGAAGTAAAAATGTAAAACTTTTGTTAAAATCAGGAATAAGCCTAAGAAAACAGCTCTGCCAAGGCGGTACTGAATGAGTGGTCTAATATCAGAGCATCTGAATCTTTGTATATAACTTTCTGTTGCCATACAACAGATTACCACAAATTACTGATTTCACACACATGAATTTATGTTCTCAGGATCCAATACAGGGCTTGCTGGTGTGAATCAGTGTGCAAGCAGGAATATTCTTTATGGGAGATTCTGAGAGGGAATCTGGTTCCTACTTATTTGCGTCGTTGTTATAGAATTTGGTTTCTAGTGTTTTTAGAAATGAATTTCTCACTTCCTTCCTGGCTGCAGATTGGTCATCCCCATTTCTAAAACCTGCCTGGTTTAGGGCTCCATCCACCAGCTCTCTTCACACTGGGCTCAGGGCTCCATCCACCACCTCACTTCACACTGGGCTCAGGGCTCCATCTACCACCTCACTTCACACTGGGCTCAGGGCTCCATCCACCACCTCACATCAAGCCCCGCACTTCCCATCTTTCCTCCTGTCCCTTTTCATCTTTTGCCCCTCTCTTCTACCCCCATCATCAGCTTTTAAGATCTCACTGAGCCAACCTGACTGATCCGAGGTAATCTTTCATCTCAAAATGCTTAACTTTCACTATGTTTGTACATCTTCTCAGTGGGGTACCATATCCACAGGAACCAGGAGGGTGTATCTTCTGAGAGCCATGACTCTCCAAACATAAGTACGAAGCTTTGCGGATAGGGTTGTTCTTAAGACATCACATTTAGATGGACCAAGAAAAATTCACATATATTCCAAGCAGATACCTCATAAAGGCTAACAGATATTTCAAATGCTACTATTTCCTCCAACTGAAATGTAAAATATATACTAAAAGTGTAAAATGCCACCTTAAAGAGCGCTGATGTTTTATGGTATGTCTTAATTCGTATTGTTGTTTCTCCGGGTATCATCTCTTTTCTCTTTTTCTAATCTCGGTTATCATTTCTTGTTTTTTAGTTCAAGATTGAAAACTGGCAGATTGCACGTTGTAATAAGAGCAAGCCTCAGAAATTTATTAATGATTTAATGCAAGTTCTTTACACAACTGAATACATGGCTACACACAGTCTGACTGGGGCAAAATCCTCTACTTCAAGAGACAAGGTTGTAAAACCAGCTATGAATCAGAATGAAGTTCAAGAAATCATAGGTGATAATTTGATCGCATTGATTTTCACGTGACTTTTTTTCATTAAAATGGTTATTAAATCTGGGTGTGGTGGTGCATCCTTGTCATCTCAACACTTGAGAGGTGGAGGTGGGGGGGACCAGGAGTTTAACATCGTTCTGGGTGCATAGCAGAGTCAGGAGCCAACTGAGGCTGCATGATCCCTTATCTCAAAAAGAAAAGAAGAAATCGTTGTGAAACTAAAAGTAAACTGTCTATAACTGAGAAGTTCAAGTTAATAAAATTCAAAGCTTCAAAAAGTTGCAGCTTTAGGGGCTGGAGAGATGGCTCAGAGGTTAAGAGCATTGCCTGCTCTTCCAAAGGTCCTGAGTTCAATTCCCAGCAACCACATGGTGGCTCACAACCATCTGTAATGGGATCTGCTGCCCTCTTCTGGCCTGCAGGCATACACACAAACAGAGTATTGTATACATAATAAATAAATAAATAAATATTTTTAAAAAAAAAGTTGCAGCTTTACTATTTTAAAATTTCAGGAACCATTTGTATTTCTTTCTTAGTTATATCCCCCCATGTATTGTTTGTTCCTAGAAAGAGATCATTTTAACCACATAGCTTTCAAATTAGTGAACCACCTTTAAAAACAATGATCTACCTTTTTCCAGGTTTTGATTTGGTTTGGATTTGCAATCATCGAAAAAATTTAGAGCATCTCTGACCAAGCTCTTGATGGGCCATTTCTTAGTTAACAAGTGATCAACTTATTTTGACTAACGTTAGAAAAGAATAGAAATCAGTCCATGACGGTCAGAGCATAAAGCATGCAGTCCATAGCAAGCAGGAGAGTTACAACTGAATGATGTCATAGGAAGATGTGCATATATGATGCGTTTATATTGTCAACTTCCCGTTAGCTTTGGCTGTGCTTCCAAAACCTGGGTGCATCCATCTGCTTAAACATGCCTGACAATTCAGGCTATGTCTGTAAATCTGAGACAGAACCATGCTTTGTCTCAGTTCATAGGATGCAAACCCCTCATAAAATGATCTCGCATGCCGCTGTGATCTTTTACAGGAATAACGAAGCAGGTGTTTCCCAGCACAGATGACATTTCCATCAGAAGGATGATAGGACAGAAACTCAATAACTGCACCAAGAAGCCGAATGTGGGCAAAACTCTTAACTCTCAGGATATTAAGTAGACCCTAATGGTACGTCTTTTGAATGTTCATGCACCTCAACATAACAAAGTCTGTTCTACAGTTATCTGTGGCCTGGCATTTTCCAGACGCTCAGCTAGGGGGACACTAGTGGCCTGTGAGATATTACTAGGTGCCCCTGTGAGTGTGAGGAGAACTGGGGAAGGGGCTAAATTTGGGAAGTGCTGAGTTCTGTCAGAAAACTGTCTCTTTCCCTGACCAAACCTCTAATATATTGGCATGGGTATTGGTAGATGAAAATCATTTGTTATAATTCAATGTTTTGTTTTTTTTTTTAAGTTAGGCATTGCCGTCTGCAAACATGTGAAGTGAAATTTGGCCACTTCAGTTTCGCAGTGAATCATTGTCTATTTCTATTCGATGTACCCCCAAAGGGCCATGAGTTAAAGGCCTTGTCTTAAAGGTTGGTGCTTTGGGGAGATGTTAGGAACTCTGGAAGTCTGGGCCTCATGGGAGGTCTCCTGGTTATTGAGGCATGAAGGAGACTGAGAGACACTGGTCTCTTTCTCTTACCTTTTTGCGCCCTCCTTCCATGAGGTACTTCACCACACTCACTCCGTGGTGCTGGGCCTCACCACAGTCCCAGGAACAACAGGCCCATCAATCGTGGGCTGAAATCCCCACAACCGAGAGACAAAATGGACCTTTTCTCCCCTTAAATTGATTGTCCCAGATAGTTGTCATAGTAACTGAAACACGTCCACTGTTTTCATGGGGAACTTGTGAAGATCAAACACACACACTTGTACTATTCTTGGTTTCTTTGACTCACGGAGGTGTGTAGAACCAACAGCATAGTAAGGTTCATGTGAGATTGAGATAGAAAAGTCCCCACCCCTTTTGACATCCGTTTACTTTGCCTACACACAGACGTGCGCATGACAGCGTGTGCCCACCACAATGCAGCTGCGAAGGTCAGAGAACATATTACAGGAGTTCTCTCCTGTCACAGTCTGGGTTCTGGGGATTGAACTCAGGCCATTTGGTTTCACAGCAAGTGCCTTTACCTACTGAATTGCCTCGCCATCCTAACCCCATTTTTCTAGTCCTCTATTTTTATCGTGGGCAGTTCTGGGGATTGAACCCAGGCCCCGCACTTGCTAAGCAAGTGCTATACCATTGACGTAGTCCTCAACTTTCAACTTTTCTGCTGTCTTTGACTTTTGTTTTGCCTGCTCTTTGCCTAAATGCTACCTTTTATGTGACTTTGCCTGCCTTCATTCCTCGTGACTGTATTTCACAAAAGTTATGGAACTCCATGTACTGCAGTGGTTCCATCTCCTGCCCATGGCTATCACCCCATCATCCCGGAGGGTCTTGTTTCTACGTTATTGCACAATAAGGCCAACTCTGGTAACAGTAAGCTTTTTTTCCCCTAAAAATAGGCAAAAAAAAAAAAACAATAGAAAGCCCTAGATGTAATAGCAGCAGTAGAAGGTATGTCTTTAAGCTCACACACACTGCTAGGTTACCTTGAAGATTACATCAAGTGAAGATATTTGTTTCCTTCTTATTCCTTGAGTGTTTCTAACTTTAACCACATGATAAATTTTATCTCTTACTGGGAAATTATTGCTTATGCCTGCCCCAGAACTTCTCATATTGACCTCAGGTTGCTTAGTGTCTTATTGTTATGAAGAGACACCATGACCCTGACAACTTTTATAAGTTGGGGCTGGCTTACAGTTCAGAGGTTTAGTCCAACATCGTCATGGCAAGAGGCATAGTGGCATGCAGGCACACATGGTGCTGGAGAAGGTGCTGAGAGTTCTACATCCTGATCCACAGGCAGCAGCAGGAGACTGCCACACTAGGCCTACCTTGAGCACATAAGACCTTAAAGCCTACCTCGATCATGACACACTTCCTCCAACAAGGCCATACCTCCTAATAGTGCCACTCTCTATGAGAAACACTTGAGTCTGCAGGGGCCATTCCTATTCAGACCATGATGCCTGGTCTCCCTGGTGTATAATGACCATGTTTCTTCTATTGCTACATATCCAGCTCTTCAAGTACATACAGCTCTCTTGTTGAGCACATTATTATATTTCAGAATTCCATATAGTATCATAATGCCCCCATTCTATGTGTTTTAATACCATAAACTGCCAAGCAAAGACACAACAGACATCTCTGCCTATAACAGCCACCAAGGTGAATGAATGCTAGAAGGTTTTTAGGTCAGTTTTGCTTGTCCTTGCCAATAACAATGACTTTGCTAGCATTCTTGTCAGCAGAGAGATTAAGATATCTATTAGGCGCCCCAGAGCCTAACAGCCTGCCATTCTCTTTGTGTGGCTGTGTCTGGCTCAGGATGTCATTGGTTGATGTGATTTTGAAAGGACTTTCTAGCCAAGTTTCCTTTCTTTGAGAGAATAGCTAAACCCGGTCTTCCTTTTGAAAAACCAGTTTGTTCTCATCCCTTGAGTGCCCTCTAGTGGCGTACATGAACATTGCTAAGAGCTCGCAAATAATCGATCTTATAAAAGGCCTTTTCCTAATTCTTCCTGTTTGTGTCTCACGTGAGCTAAAGGTTTAATTTATAAGGATTGAAGAGTCCTGAGCTATCACTTCTGTACCGTCTAAAGGCCAAAGAGCCTTCTTCTGAAATCCTCAACACTGTCTGTCTCTTGCAGAATATTTCTTATGCTTCTGCTACAATAATGATTTCATACAATGTTGTTTAAACAGAGGGTCTAAGGATATTTTGTCCTCTTGCTCCCATCAGAGGATGTTTTGAAGTGTCTGAAGGTCATATGGCTTTCACATTTGGGTACCACTAATGGCATTTAGCAGCGAGCAGTGCCACCAAACAGCCTACAACTCATACGAAAGCCTCTCGCCCCCTCCTCCCAGCATAGATCCACCCACATCATCATTGTTGGTTTGGTTTGGTTTTGTTTTTGAGATAGGATATCTCTGTGTAGCCCTGGCTATCCTGGAACCCATTCTGTAGACCAGGCTGGCCTCGAATTCACAGAGATCCAACTGCCTCTGCCTCCTGAGTGCTGGGGTTAAAGATGTGGGACACCACCACTCAGCATGTATGTTAATTTTGTAGCCTGCTACTTTGCTGAAAGTGTTTATCAGCTGTGGAAGTTGCCTGGTGGAACTTTTAGGGTCACTAATGTATACTGTCATACAATCTGCAAATAAAGATACTTTGTTTTCCTCCTTAACCTATTGTATCCCCTTGAGCTCCTTCCGTTGTCCTATTGCTAAAGCTAAGATTCCAAGTACTAAATTGACTAGGTATGGAGAGAGTGGATTATGTCACTTTCAGCCCTGTTTGATTTTCTCTTGCTATCTTCTCTTCTTGGGTGTGATTTCTTCTTTTTGCCCTAGAGTTTTCAATTGTGCTGTTAAGTTACTAACATGACCTCTCACTCACCTTTTAACGTAGACACTTAGTGCAACGAAAGCCCCTCTTCGAGCCACCTTCATCGTGTCCCATAAGTTTGAGTATGCTGTGTTTTCATTTCCACTCAATTTAGAAAGTCTAATTTTTTTTGTTTTTTTGGATTTTTCAAGACAGGGTTTCTCCGTAGCTTTTGGTTCCTGTCCTGGAACTAGCTCTGTAGACCAGGCTGGCCTCGAACTCACAGAGATCCACCTGCCTCTGCCTCCCGAGTGCTGGGATTAAAGGCGTGCGCCACCACCGCCCGGCGAAAGTCTAATTTTTTTTTCCTAATTTCTGTCTTGATCCATTTGCATTCAGTAGAAAGTTGTTCAGTTTCCATGAGTTTGTAAGCTTTCTATTTTTCTATTGTTGCCCAACTTTAATCCGTAGTGGTCAGATAGAATGCATTCAATTTTCTTGTATCTATTGTGTCCAAGTATGTGGCCAGTTTCGGAAAAAGTCTCATGAGCTGCTGAGAAGAAGGTATGTTATTTTGTGTTTGGGCGAAATATTCTGTAAATATCTGTTAGGTCCATTGGATATATTGTGTCAGCGCCATCATTTTTCTGTTCAGTTTTTGTCTGGATGACCTGTGTATTAGCAAGAGCGAGGTACTGATGTCATTATCAACATTTGAGGATCAATATGTTTTTTATGCTGTACTAGTGTTTTGGGTTATTTTTACACCCACAATGTCCTGTGTATTGTTTTTTTTCCCATCTTTTTTGATTATATCTGTTTTGAAGTCTACTTTGTCAGTGTTGAAATGGCTATGATAAACTTGCTTCTTAGGTCCATTGGCTTGGAATATCTTTTTCCAGTCTTTACCCTGAGTAGTGTCTATCCATGATGTTGAGGTTGTTTCTTGGATGCAGCAGAAGATGAATCCTGTTTTCACATTCATTCTGTTAGTCTGTGTCTTTTTACTGGGGAATTGAGATCACTGATATTGAGAGATATCAATGGGCAACGATTGCTGGTTTCCTGTTATTTACACACGCTGTTTGAAGGTCTTTTTCTTGCGCTTCGGGTATGTTGGAATAGTCAGGGCCTCCTGTGGTGGGATTACTGGCCTGTAGTTAAGACCTACTGTTCTGGCCAGAATGAATTTTACTGGGGGCTAGGCATCCGGGTTTGGGATGATTGTAATTCTAGGCACTGATATCTGGTCTTGTCTTTGTAGGGTGATTGTTTTGATCCTTGGTTTTGGTTGTCTCTCCTGGTTCTTAGGGGAGTCTGGTGACTGTGGGTTTCCTGGTAGGAAATGCTTCTGGGATCCTGCCAGGTATGGCCTCTGGGGGCTCTGGTTAGAATGTGTTTCTCCTGTTGGGAACTGACATTTAGGAATAGAGATGGTGAGCTGGAAGAGCCTAAAGGAGTTCCCAGTGGGGGAAAGCAGGGTGTGCCAGGATCTGTTTAGTCCCCTGTGAGTGGGGGTAGAGAATGAAGAGAGCCTGCTAGGGAGCTGGGAATTAGACTGCGGGGAGGGGGCTGGATTGGAGGAGAGGAGGGAGAGTGAAGACCTGAAGATGGTCGCCTGCTTCCCTGGCAGAGGCCTGCTGGTCCTCAGGGAATGCCTGAGGGACTTGGAGGGTGACACAAAGGGATGGAGTGGTGAGGGAGGCTATAGGAGATCTGTATAATCTGCTGGAGATGGGGGCAGAGAAGAGGGGGAGGTCACAGGGGATGGTCTGCTGCAGAGCTGGGGGTGAGACTGGGGGCTGGATTTGAAGTGGCGTGGGGGTGAGGGTCTGAGGATCACCTACCTGCTTTCTTCTCTTCTGGATTTTGAATCAGGGAAACCAGGTTTGGAGAACTGGTAGCCGCCATTAAGCAACCAATAAACATTACTTTAAAATGTTATACAGAATTTTGTTGATGACTTTTTAAAATGCTTCATTGGCATAGGGGGTTCATTTTACCATGTTTTAAAATTTAGCTAATACAATTTAATCATCTCAAATAAAAATGAATTTAAAATATTTAAGTGTTTTCTACACTGGAATTCCTCTAAATAAACCATAAAACAATTCACAGTACATCTCAATAACAGTAATTCTTGTCTTTAACCCAAATTTTCACCTCTTTGAAATTTGTTTTTTTATGACTACAGGTATCTTAAAATAAAGCATGTTTGGTTTTACGTCAACCATTGGATTTTGTGGAGACACATCAGAGACCAGCTGTATGGCGTCTGTAGAACCCATGGCCTTCCTGGTGGAGAAAAAGACTGGCCGAAGAAGCTGCATGCAGAGGCCATACTAATTGCTAACGATGCATCAACCCAGAGAATGTCTGTCAAACACGCATGTGATATGGTTCCCTTGGAATTTCGCATTTCTCGCAGCCCCAAATACTTCCCTGGACAACTAACATAAGATAATATAAGCTCTTGTCATAGCAACAAAAGCATCTACCCTCCATATCGGTCAATGTCCTCCACAACAGCATGCATTATCACCATCGGTGATTCCCCATGATGCTGTTTGTTTGCTTTTTGGATGTAGCAAGCGCGTTGAGTGGAAATGCAATTGAAATAATGCATTTACAAATACAAAAGGAGCAAAGTGAGCCTAAGGGATGATAACCGCATCTAACCAAGTGGTGATGATGTAACATTAAGGTGAATAGGATTATGGGAAAAAAACAAAAACAAAAATCTTTTCAATATTAAGTTGTCCAAACACAATCCTAAAAGCCCCAAATCTCATTTTTGTTTGTTAAAATGATGTACCGAATTTTGTAATAGACACTTAGTCTGTGAAGCAGACATACCTCCCAATATTCGTTGTCCAACGTGTACTAGTTACAAATTGTAATGTTAAACAACAATATTACCTAAAGTACACTTAGGGCATAACATCATGTTTGATCAGCTGTGATGCTAAACTGCTTAATTTTAACGTGTTTATTTCCACTCTAACAGAAGGGAAGTGAATTGGAAAAAAATACTGCTTTAATAATGGCACAGGAAAAATGTCATTTTGTAAATCAACAAAAGATAAAATATTCTTTAGAGACTTTTCACTTGATGGCAGATTGCCTGACTACTTTGCAATATGAAACTATATTTTTTCCTTCCTTCCTTCCTCCCTCTCTCCCTCCCTCACTCTCTCTTTCTCTCACTTTCTTCTTTTCTTTCTTTTTCTTACTTTTTTCTTCCAAGGCAGGGTTTCTCTGTGTAGGTCTGGCTATCCTGGAACAAACTATAGATCAGGATGGCCTTGAACTCAGAGATCTGCCTGCCTCTGCCTCCCAAAAGCTGGGATTGAAGGTGTGTGCCACCATGCCCGGTGAGACTCTGCTTCTTGAGTGTGTAAAGTGATGTCAAAACTTGGAGAGGGGGACCCCTAAAGTGCAGCGCACCCAGGAAGTATTCTGTAAAGGGTGCTTGATAACCATGCAGTCATACAGAACAGTTATTCTCAATGAAATAAATTATGCAACATTTGCTACTTTTAATTAAATAAAATTTAACTCCATTGAAAACTATTGCACTTTTTATTGTTCTTGTTGTTTCTTAATGTATTATATTCAGGGCAAACAAATTTTACTCTTTTAACCTCTTTTAGCCCTCAGAGTATAAGTTGTCTGATGCAATGCTCTGAATAAAGTTGGCTATTGCTTGAGATTTCAGTCCACATCATTTATTGGCTCCATTCTTCCAGATCCCACCACCTCTAGAGTGATAATTGTAAGTGGCACCCAAACAGGAAGATAGCATAGTTGGGACCCTCACGGGGTGGAGGGGGGAGTGAGTGAGAATAACGGGGCAGAAACCAGGGAAGGCTTTGCCTTATATCAAGATTTTGCATCCTTTTTTAAAGGAAGAAGGAACACAAGTATCCCAACTATTAGATTGCTTGCAAGTTATTTATAATTACAATCCCTGGCTTCCAGAAGAAGAAACTTTAGATAAAGAAGTATGAGACACTGAACATGGCGAACAATGAGGGCTGATGAGACGCAAAGGACAATGGCACGGGGGTTTGATCCTACGTAATGTGCTGGCTTTGTGGGAGCCTAGCCAGTTTGGATGTTCACCTTCCTAGATATGGACGGAGGTGGGAGGTCCTAGGTCTTACCACAGGGCAGAAAACCCTGACTACTCTTTGGACTGGAGAGGGAGGGGGAAAGGAGTGGGGGGAGGGGGAGAAGGGTGGGAGGAGGGGGCGTAGGGTGGGAGGAGGGGGAGGGAAATGGGAGGCTGGGAGGAGGGGGAAACTTGTTTTTTTTTTCTCTCCTTTTCTCAATAAAAAAAGAAAAAAAAAAAGAAGTATGAGACAGTATCCAAAAAAAAAAATATTGAAAAGGCAGATGAAGGAGGGGTGGGGGGGATCCCTGTTCAATTTTTAGTCATTTGGCCATTAATTAGGACTGTTACCAGAAGTACTTAAGGAAGATAAAAAGAATATTAATCATGAGTAAGAGATAATTAATTCCTTGAATGAATATAAACTGGGTGATCAAACCTTTAAATTGTTAAAAAGGGGCAAAAAAGAAGAAGGGTAGCTGACTTCAGGTCTAGTTATATTAAAATCATACCAAGTTCCTGTAAGCCTTATGCTGATTTCATAGGGAGACCCAAAGATGTTAATGAGGAACAAGTCAAAGAGGAACAATTCAAGAGCTATTGTTAAAACAGCTGGCTTATGGTAATGCCAATCAAGATTGCTAAGGAATAATCAGGGGAGAGGGGAAATGTTTTGGACTTTCTGACAGTCATGTAGCAATGTAAGGACCTACAAACAGAGCTTTAGAAACTATGCTGTTCAAAGACAAATGTCAGCAAAGTGTCTCAATTCCAGCTGATCGGCCACTTAAGGAAACAATGTAAATTGCTCTTACAACAAATGAATACTCAAAATCAGTGAGTTCCTGGTATATGCCTCAAATGCAAGAAAGGAAAACATTGGGCTAAGGAATGCTGATCTAAATATGGTAAGGATGGCAATACATTGCCTAGCAACAATAACAATACCAGTAAACAACAGGGAAACAGATTATTGCCCCCTCCCTTCAGGACCTGCAAAATTAGAGGGCTTAAGTCTAGAAACAGTAACATTTGTGCCAGCTTCAGGTTGCAATCTACCCAGTTCTTTCCTTATAAGCTGCTGCTCAAGGAAGTACTGCTGTTCAGATTTCTTGCCCTAAAGATGCCACCATTTCACCTCTTCAATGTCCTTTTAACTTATATACAGAATATTGGGGACCTATACTGCCTAGCACAGTTGGACTTTCATTGAGTCACAGTAGTTTATTCATGAAAGGAATCATGGTTCACATAGGAGTCATTGATAAAGATTACGTAGGGGAAATTACAGTCATGATCCCAGGGCCCACTGATTGGCAATTTAAAACCAGAGAAAAAAAATGGAGTTACTATTATTGCCTTATATAGCAACAGTGTAGTTCGTGAGGGAGGATTTTTAGTACATATAAAACTGCATCTTTTAGCACATTTGAAGGAAAATGATAAGCCATTGTTGGATTCAAAATTAAAAGTTCTACAGGATTAATGACTCCTGAAGTTCATGTCTTCTATCATAACCATAGAATAGCCTTCCCAATGGCGTGCTGTGGAGTTACATTCAACCCTAATAGGGTTGGGAACTATGAGCTGTAACAAGATTAAACAAAGTGTGCTACAAAATTCTAATGCATAGGTCTATGCTCTGTACTTTCAGTGTTTTGATTATTAGGTAGCCGGGAAAATTTTTCTCCTGGTCCAATCTATTTGGTGTTCTGTAACCTTTTCATATCTTTATAGGCATCTTCTTCTTTAAGTTAATGTCTTAGTTAGGGTTTACTATTGCTGTGAACAGACACGATGACCATGGCAACTCTTATAAAGAGAATAGTTATAAGATTCTCTTTATAAGAAGGGGGCTTGCTTACAGTTTCAGAGGTTCAGTCCATTACCATCATGGCAGGGAGCATGGCGCCATGCAGGCAGAGGTGGTGCTGTAACTGAGAGTGCTACATCTTGCAGGCAACAGGAAATCAGCTGACTCCCTGGGTGGTATCCTGAGCATAAGAAACCTCAGAGCCCGCCCCCACAGTGACACACTTCCTCCAACACGGCCATACTTACTCCAACAAAGTCACACCTCTTAATAGTGCCACTCCTTATGGGATTAAGGGGTCAATTACATTCAACTACCACAGTTAGGAAATTTTTCTTCTATGATTTTGTTGAAGATATTTTCTGAACCTTTGAACTGGGATTCTTCTCCTTCCTCTATTCCTATATTCTTAGGTTTGGTTTTTTTCATAATGTCCCAGATTTCCTAAAGGATTTGTGTCAGGACTTCTTAGTTTTAACATTTTCTTTGACTGATGTATCCATTTCTTTTATTTTTTTTCTTCAGTGCCTGAGATTCTTTCATCTCTTGTATTTTATTGGTGAAGCTTGGTGTTTAGCTGGGAACCCCACTTTGGCCCCACCTCTCCAGACTCTGCCAAGTGGGGGTTCCTCCCATGAAGCTGCTCATAGAACTAGCCTACAGGGTATTTAAGACCTGGTCCCTAGGCCTGCTATGTGATTTCTCTGCTGCTTTCCCCGAGATCACCTGGGGGTGCTTTGCACAGATTAAACCTGGTCTTATTCATTCAGAGTGGTTTGCTTTATTGCATTGGCTGCGAGATCCACAACCAGGGGATTCAAAATACTTATTACTTGCCTCTAGTTTTTATTCAAATTCCTAAATTTTCCTTTTCCAGAATTCCCTCATTTTGTATTTTCTTTATTGCTTCTATTTCCATTTTCAGCTTTGTTTCCTTCATGTTTGCTTTTTCTTGACTTTCTTTAAGGGATTTATTAATTTCCTCCTATTGGTTGAGTGTGTTTCCCTGGCTTTCTTTGACAGACTTATTCCTTTCCTCCATCTCTTTGTGTTTCCTGGATTTCTTTAAGGAATTTATTCATTTCCTCTTTAAGGACCTCTGTCATATTCATACAGTTGGTCTTAAGGTCTTTTTCTTGTGCTTCAGCAATGTTGGAATACTAGGTATCTGCTGTGGTAAGCTATCTGGGCTCTAGTGGAGACATATTGTTCTGGATGTTATTGATGTGCTTTTTATACTGGGGTATAGGCATCTGAGTTTGGAATAATTTTAATTCCAGGTACTTGATATCTGGTCTTGTCTTTATTGGGTGGGTATTTTGTTCTTTGGTTTCTGTTTCCTCTCTGGATATTCAGAGAGTGTGTTGGCTGTTCTACTGTTGAAGGGTGTAGCGGCGTAAATAAATGCAGGCAGATATATTAAAAAATATATACAGCTTTAATGGTTAAATAAACTTACAGAACCGAGGTTCCCGCTTAGCACAGGAGGCAGGAAAAAGAGACTGCGCAGGCTCCGTCAACATTCGCCCGAGGCAAAACCCGCCCCTAAGGGGCTGGCTTAACCCTACAGAAGGGTCCAAGGATAAGAATATAACATGTAGATTCCAAAAATAGGAATGTAGAAATAAAGAAATATAAAGTTGTAAACCTAGGAGAATGAGAAGAGACTGTCAGCAGCTTTCTCAGCAGCTTGAGGATTAACTATTAACAGTAGGTTATTTCGCTTTACTACCCATAGCTCTATTTACAAGGCCAAAGCATCTCTCTACAAACTGAGAGCTAGTCTATGAATATGAGTTGAGTCAACTTTTAGGAGATAGATATATGACCTCTGAGTTGTACCATTATCTCTTCTATGTGAAACTGGCAGCATCAAAGAGGAGACCACAGGGCTTCAGTAAACACTACCTGGAAGTACCAAGAAAGACAATAGAATAAGTACAAACACTAGTTTAACTTAAAAACCTCTGTTAGCTGGGCGGTGGTGGCGCACACCTTTAATCCCAGCACTCGGGAGGCAGAGGCAGGCGGATCTCTGTGAGTTCGAGGCCAGCCTGGTCTACAAGAGCTAGTTCCAGGACAGGAACCAAAAGCTATGGACAAACCCTGTCTCGAAAAATCAAAAAAAAAAAAAAAACCCTCTGTTAATGGAGATTGTGCAGTAAGGCAATCTGTATCTGAGTTTTACCTTGAGATTGTAAAAATTCCTTTGTTCATACCTAATGTTTGGTGCCCCTACTATAAAAATGTGGGTTCAGAAACCAGCCTCCACCATAACCTTATCAAAAAAAACAAAACAAACAAACAAAAAAAAAAGAACAACTCTGGCTGTGGTCTCAGCTAACTGATAAGCTTTTTGTGCCCCATGGGGATATTTTTTCCTGGATTCTGGTTTCTGGAATAAAGTTTTCTTCTGGTTTATTAGACTTTGGTGGTCTGTCCCCATCATTGCTCCATCCGCTGGACTCAACATTGTCCTGTTTGTCTGGTGTGTTGGGCAGGGGGTGGGTGGGATATGCTAGCTGGTGTTGAAGGCTGGGGGTAGGAGAAGCCAGAGAGAGGTCTGAGGGATCAACAGCTTTGGAATGGGGTCCTGCAGATGATACTCTGTTGCAGCACTGGGGGTGACCTTGAGAATAGGGTCTG